TGTTCTATTTGACCCACAAACAGAGCCTTTTCTCTTCGTCTGGGAGCCATCTGTTGGGAAAGCCAGACCCCCTCATACATGTTTTATTATTGCCGATATAACTCCACTCGGCCTCCCAAAAAATGTTTATTAAGTTTGACTTCTTTGTTTGACTTTTAACCTGGAGGTCTCACCGAGATGCTTACACAGACTTATCCACCAGACCTTCCAAGCTGCGTTGCCTGAGCTGTGCACTTTCTAAGCCTTGCAGGTCCAGGCCATCTTCCCTGGCTTCTAGGGGGAGTCTAACTGTGCTAAGGTAGTGATTTTGTACTTACTGAGTCTCTTTCTAAATTATTTTTGGTCTCTTGCTGTCTGGATATCTGCTTTTATTTCTGCCTCAAGCCTATTTGAATTGTTTCTACCGAATGGCTGTCTGGTCCCCTCTAACATATGAAAAGAGCTGAGAGGTTGGTGTTTATCTTCATTTGGTGCTGTTGGTCTGTGCTTTCAGTGCTACCTCGAGTGACAGAAGCGCCTACCCTTCTCCACCAGATGTTAGTTTACCAAGACCAGGGGCCTGTCTCAATGGAATTGTTTTGAGAGTTGCCCTATAGGATGTCCTGCACTACTGGTATTTTCCTTTAGCTGTAAAAGACATTCTAAATGGCCTTGTCTGTGCCTGTCTTGGCTGCAAAGGTTGTTCACATATGCATTTGGTCAACTTCATGTGACCTGTGAATGAAATTTCCAGTGCTGTCATTCTCTAGGTATTTATAAATGAGAAAATCTCCCTCCTCCTCTCAGAGACAAAGTGTTGGGAGATGTTCCTCCATGGGCCCCTTGCTGGGACTCTGGTCTTACTGAGTATGTGCCAAGAATGCAAGCCATTGACTACTCTTTGCCTGGGCTATTTCTCAGGGCTGTGTACGCAACAAGCAATGTTCAGGTATGAAATAATATCTTCCTCTGGAGCAAAGAGCTTAGCTTGCCTACTGCTTGCTATAAAATAGCAGGTTCTCCAAGTTTGGTGTTCCTCTCCCGTAATGCCTACCACTGCATGATCAAGCACCCATCGGATCCTCTGCACCTGCCTATGGGCATCGGGGTGCAGAAAACTAACAGTATGCTGACACTCTGGCGACTGCTATTTCTCTGAGTCATTAACTCTTGACCTCTGAGCCAGGAGTCTCGTGTCTTCTGTTAGCATTCATGAAACAGTGGCAAACGAACTTGTTAGCTTGCAGGTCAGATAAAATTTCACCCTTCGCCATTCTTGGCAGAAAGAAATGGCTTTGTAATATGCTCTGTAATTGTAACTCTTTGTGCCTATGGCCAATCTTTTGAAAGTACCCTTGAAGATCATAGGAAGATTCAAGAAGATCACAAAAATATGTCACTTGCATACGTTATAGAAATATCAAAGTCAAAAGACAGATCTCTCACTGAAAGGAAGGAATCATTTGCAAATATTTTGTGAGTTGAAATCCACTTTTCTTGGCGTGCAGGACAGAAGGCTCTGATTTGCGGGTTGTACGATAATTGTACAAATGAGCTAGAACGTATACCAAAGTAATGAAAATGTTGATTGCTTCTGGCTTTTCATGAATATCCATTACTACTGCCCAGGAAATGTGAAGTGTTCTGAGTGTGTGAATTTCTTTCTATAGAAAGAAACAGGGAGCAGTTCTACTCATAATCATGACAGATTAACTGGTACCAGACTTTCCCTTCCACTGAAACAAGAAAACTACATGAAACGGCGTCGTCAGACGGTGGAGAACAGACAGGCAAAGCAAAACTGTGATCCAGAAGGGAAACCAATGAGGACACTGGTACAATTAGACTGCTGTTCTGTCTAGAGACATTACCCATACTGCAGCACATGGTTTGGAAAGCAAACCAGGACAGAGCGGTCTTGCTGAGTTGAAGATACAGAGATTGGCATTCAGAAAGGCGGAAGCTGCTGGAATTTCTAAGGCCGATTACTCGAAAGAAAGCTCTTTCTATACAAAGAAAGAACTAAAAATATTTGCATAGGGCTCCCCTTGAGTTTCTAGTTGAATAAATCTTAAGTAAAATATGTGTAGGGTTGATGCCCAGAACATGGTCAAAACCACAGTGGGCCAAGAATAACTATGAGTGAGCTCTCAGCTGAACAATTCCCAGAGATAACACAGGGTGGGGAGAGTTTCTAGTTGCAGGCAGAGTGGAGAGGCCTTGCTGAACAATTAAGACATAACAGCAGAAACCAAGGATTGGACACACCTTAGGAGCATGTCTATACTAGATATAGAATAAAGACTTCCCTAGGCCAGCTGAGGCAAAGCTAAAGAGCAAGTCTCGGAAGAATCGAGCTGACCTAAAATTAGCTAATCCATCTGTCTGAACAAACCTTAATACTCCTTAAAGGAAGCCAGCAGAATCCAGACTCTCAATAGCACACAACACTTAGAATGTCTAGCTTCAATGACAGAAAGAGATCTGCAAAGTTTCCATGTACCTGAAAATTAAAATAATCTTAGTATCTCAGGGACCAAAGAAGTAATCAGAAGAGAAGTCAGAATGGCTCTGAACTGAATGATGCAACAAATGGAAGTTTGGTTATCTATAAGTAAAGCCATAATTAGTGGAAGATTAGGGACTTCAAGAAATTATATTAGAAAAGAATAAAAGGATAAAATTCACGACTTAAAGCTTCACTATGAGAGGTGAACATGCAGAGGCAAAACAAAATCAACGAAGAAAAAAAATTATAAAGAGCAGAGATCGACGAAACAGAAAATAGGTAAGCAAAAGAGAAAAAAAAATGCAACCAAAAGATGATTTGTTGAAAAGACTGATAAAATTGATAAACCTCTAGTGATGCTGATCAAAAAAAGAAAGATAGGACAGCAATAACCAGTATTAGGAAAAAAGAGAAATTATAATAAATATTATGAATTAAGAGGATAACATGCAGGAGCACCTGGGTGGCTTGTCAGTTAAGCCTCTGACTCTTGGTTTTGCCTCAGGTCATGATCTCACGGCTTCGTAGATTCGAGCCCCACATCTGGCTCTACCATGGCAGCACAGAGCCTGCTTGGGATTCTCTCGGTCTCCCTTTCTCTCTACCCATCTCTCACTCATGCTGTCTCTTGTCTCTCTCAAAATAAATAAACTTTAAAAACCATTATAAAAAACGAGAAGAAATTTTGCTTTAATCTGACATCTTAGATGAAATGGAGAAATTCCATGGAAGAATGTAAAACATCCAATTGACATGAGGAGAAAATCTGAACTGTCCTATATCGATGAAATAAATCCACTGCTAAAAACTTTAAGTCCCAGTGATTTAACAGGTGAATTCTATCAAAAATTTAATGAAGAATTAATACCAATTCTATGAAAACTATTTCATTCCAGGTAATTCACCACATTTATAGAATATGATAATCTCAAAAGATCTAGAAAATATTTGACAAAATCTAATGCCTAATTATAATAAAAATTCCCAACAAGCTAAGGAAAGAAGTAAACTTCCCCAATGTGATAAATGGCAACCACAAAAGATAGACCCACACACATTATACTTAACGGTGACAACCGGACTTTCCCCTACAATCAGGAGAATGTCAAGGACAACTGTCTTCCCAGATCTATTCAACACTGTACTGGAAGTCCTAAGAATTTCAAAAAGTCAAGAAAAAAACATAAATGGCATAAGGATCAGAAAACAGGTAAAGTCACCTCTATTTGCAGATGACACGGTTTTTTAAACAGAAAATTCTGAGGAATTTAAAAGAGAACTACTAGAACTAGTAAGTGAATATAAAAGGTTGTGGTATCCAAGATTCATATTGAAAATTAATTAGAGACTTGCAGGGGGGACGGCAGAGTAGGAGACTCCTGGCTATCACCCGTCCCACGGACACAAGCAGATGACATCCACATCAGTGTAACTAACCCAGAAAATTACCCGAAGTCTGGCAGAACAGAGTCTCACAACTAAATGTAGAGAGGAGGCCACCCTGAAGAGGGTAGGAAGGGTGGAGACATGGTCGGGAGCCAAACAGACCCGCAGGACTGTCTGTGCGAGGGAGGGACAATGTGGGCACAGAGAGGGCAAAGAAACAGATGATCACACCAGGCACCGCAGACACAAGGGACCTGTATTGGAAGATGAGCCCCGTAACATGTGGCCTTGAAAACCAGAGGGGCTTAAACATTTGATGAAATGCATCATCAAAATAGATGGAGGGATGAACAGAGAATGGATAGATGGACAGACATGTGATAAATAGGTTCCTCACTCTGGCTGACTCCTGCGTGGATGGAATTTCAAGACAAGAGACCAGGTCAACTTCTTTATCCCAAGTAGTTATCAATAATGCAACAGCTTAGGAGATTCTGGCTAACCAGAGGAGAATATGTACCAATGCCCATGCCTTACACTGTCTGGATTAAACCAAGGATCAGTCTATAGCCAAGTTAAAGAAATGACCGTCAACCACTTAAGGGAGACCTGAGGCGTTGATAACCTTCATTTTCTTGAGCAGATTCGAAATCTTCCAGAATGCCTCTCTGTCCTTTCTTAAAACACTTCTGGTTATACTCCACCTCCCTGCTGCTTGACATGTGTTGCCCAGAGTCTAAAAATGTTCAACCGATGACGCAAAGACAAAAACAAGGTAGAATCATTCTGAATTGCACGCCAATTGAAACATCACATTTCTGCAAACAACCTCATCTTCAAGAAGAGGCAACAATAGTGACTAAGACAGGGACCATCCGTGGTGGCCTGTCCTGCAAGTTGGGGCAAGGAGAACAACATGCTCAGAGTCTATGAAAAGGCTGGCTGTTCCCCAGCCACAGTGTCAAGTAAACACCAGTTTCAAGTCAACCTCTCTATTCATGACAGCTCACGTCAGGAAACACGCTGCCAAAGCCAACCAATCAGGAACAGCAAAGTCAACCAATCATCAAAAGACGGGTCCTCAGAAAAGCCGGGGAGCCAGGAAACTTACCAGCACAAAACTTACCAGCGTGGGATTCGAACTTCAGCAGAGCGCTGTTGTATCCCAGAGTGATCAAGACGGATTCCCTCCCCACACGGCAACACTCAGTGTCTCTGTTGAGTAAGCATTTAAAGACGCAGAGGCCATCAGCTGTAAAGGGTGAAAAAAAAGTAAGGATTAGGTACATCCATTTTGAGCCCCGTAAAAAGGTTCAGCAATGCCATTCCTACATTTCTCTTGGGTTCTCAAGGCTCCCTGTTTCTTTCTTCTTGATATAATGCCTCCTGAGATGTAAGAAAATATGAGGATTGGAGATAACAGATGAATTTAACTATGGCCCCATACCCAGTTTCTGGCAGGCGGGTTAGCACAAAGCTCAAAACTAACTCTAACTGGTTCTTGCCTTTATGTCTAGGGCCCCATTCTCTCTAAACCTTGTATTGCCTAAATCATCTTGTATTTCTTGATGGCATCCCAGGAAAGGCAGGGCCATCAAGGCCATGAGTCCATGTCCCTCATGGGTGATTTTTTTTTTAAAGTTTATTTATTTATTTTGAGACGGGGGGGGGGAGAGAGAGAGAGAGAGAGAGAAAGAGAGAGAGAGAATCCCAAGCAGACTCCATACTGTTAGCACAGAGCCCAATACGGGACTTGAACTCATGAACCGCGAGATCACGAGCTGAGCGGAAATCAAGAGACACTGTTTAACTGACTGAGCCGCCCAGGCGCCCCCTGTGGGTGATTCTTGAGCACCTAGTCCTTGCCAGAGATATCACATCATCTTCACTGTAAGTACTGTCACTGCCAGCCAGTGTCTTGGGGCAAAGACAAGGTAGAGCCTTGAGGTCCAAATGTGCAGAGCTAATAAGTGGCAGAACAAGAATTAAAACCCTGGATTAAACTGGACTCCAAAGCCCACTGTTGCTCTTCCCACCTTGTGCAAGGCCAGCTCAGGACACAGGGAGCTAAGTTTCCGCAAGTGGGGCCATGGTGAGTGGCTGGGCTCTCATTGACTTTGTGCACAGATAACTGGGAAGTAACCTGCTATTGCTTCCTTGACAAGTTAAACAGGTATTTGGCACTGGGGCAGCTGCAGTGTGGTGGCAACAGTCATCAACTTGGGTTTCGAACTCATCTCTGATATTTACTCATCTGGGGTCTTCAATCACCTAGTCACATGGAGTCACAGTTTTGTCAGTATGTAAAATGAACATCCTGATGCTTATTCCACAAGCTTTTTGTGAAGCCTGAATAATAAAGGTAAAATACTTTCTAAAATTCTCCGAAAAGGATTTTTACGTGATGGGATTTAATGTCATTGCTCTCATCATAAAGTAGATCTTCGTTCCCATCCTTAATGTCTTACATTCTCTCTTACAAGATCAAATACAGTGTTTTAACTTAAAAACATAATTACATATGAAATTCTACTGTTACATGAGTATGTGGCACATTCATGTACACACATTCAAAACACACACACACACACACGAGTGAAGATGACCAAATATATTCAAACATTTTCATCTGTGACTTCAAATGAGCGATTACCTCCTGATGGGAGTGTTCGCAAATATTTCTCACAAAACATCTTGGCTGGCTAAATAGTGCAGAAGTTTTGAAAACATTTTCCTGGCTTTAAGCATGATTACAGGTTTAATTGTTACAGCCCAGTCAGTGTGTCAAAGGCATCAATGTCTCCTCACAAGAACACAGCCACGAGTAGATGCAGAAGGAGGGAGTTTGGGGCTCTTGTATACAACATATTCTCTTTAAATCACAAGAAGTGTGTTTTTCCCCCCGAGAAATAAAGATTTTCTGCATTTGCCAATTGTTTTCCTATAGTTTTGAAGTAGGATGAGAGAGAATAAAGATGCAAGTCTCAGTGCCTTGCACAGACACAACTATTATCATCTGTGAGCTTTTTGCAGCAGGAACGACTTTATTTTTTAAAATCACTATCTTTCTTTCTCTGAATCAAACCCTGGCAAGTACCTGGTACTTAACACTTTTTGAATCCGTGAAAGCATTTCTCCCCATATTGATTGCATGCCATCCCAGAATAGATTAAAAGCTTCAAAATTTATCCAGATCAAGTCTCCTTAACCAGATAAGGTCAGAATTTTTGTTTGTTTTGCTGCTGTTTGTGTTTCAGTTGTGATTTGATGTTGCTGTTATTTTCCTATTTTCAGACGTTGCAAAATGCGTGCCCATATATATCCCCTTTTTCTTTGTCGTCTCTGACCCTGTTTAAATATGGGTGGAGCAGAGACCAAATAAGCATGCCAAAACAGTCAGGAAGTACTCGTAAATGCTTACTTTTTGTAATCTACCTTTGCAAAAAAAATTTTTTAATTTTTTAATGTTTATTTTTGAGAGACAGGGAGAGACAGAGTGTGAGCGGGGGAGAGGCAGGGAGAGAGAGGAACACACATAATGTGAAGCAGGCTCCAGGCTCTGAGCTGTCAGCACAGAGCCTGACATGGGGCTCAAACTCAAGAACCACGAGATCATGACCTGGGCTGATGTCAGAAGCTTAACTGACTTAACTTTAAAAAAACTTTAAACAAAATTAAAAAGTAACGATAATCTGGGAAAAATGTTTTCAGCATACCCAACAAAGATTTACTATTCCTCAATTTACAATTAACTCTAAAAAAATGAGAAGGAACAAGCATCCTTAGGGGATCCATAGGCAATTTGCCAACTAGAAAAATGCCAAGAGCAAAAAGAACACAAGTAATGAATTTCAGGAAGATTCAAAGAAACGTGCAATAAAAGAAGGAGTAGATCTAGATTTTTATCTCTCAATGTCAACATTTTAAAAATATATATTAACAATACCAAATACTGGAAAGCGTATGAGAATTCAGTGAACAGCACTTACTGGGGAGGTAAACTTCTGTATTTCTGGGATGTATTCTGCCCATAGGGTTTAAAGTCATTGTATTCTTTGGTAGACATTCTGCTCATAATCATTTCTTCCAGAATGTACTTATCAAGTGTGGATCTACCTTATCAAGTGTGGATGAATGTATATTCAATGCTCATCTTAAGAGTTATTTACTAGTGTGAGAAAACGCAAAGGAAGCTAAGAAGGGTCCACCAGGTACGTAGTTGATTAAATCCAACGACTCCTTCCTGGCAGCTTGCCAAACAGTGTAATGTCTGTAGCAATTTAATGTGTTTATTTTCCTAGAAGCCTGTTTAAAAAGGTACACACCAAAATGTCATCAGTGGTTTCCTCTCCACGGAAAGTTGTGGGGTCTTTTTTATTGTGCCCTTTATAGGGTTTTCCTTGTTTGAATTTTCTATGTGACTACCTTTTAATAATCAGGAAATACAAGCAGTCAGATAAACAACACACTAACATCACTGGTGTATTTTACCACATTGTCATCTTGGTAGGTATTGTCATTCTTTTCATTTTCTCATTTATTAGATATTAGTTGGTAGTTTAAAATATATTAAAAAATATATTCATCCAAAAATATTGATTTAGCAATTAGGGTATCCAATATAAGCATTATTTTAATTCTGATTTTTAAATCATTCATAGAAATGAAAAACGCCTGGGTGGCTCAGTTGGTCGAATGTCCGACTCTTGATTTCAGATCAGGTCCTGATCCCAGGGTTGTGGGATGAAGCTCCACGTCAGGCTCTGCACTGAGCATGCAGAGCTTGGTTGGGATTCATTCTTTCTCTCTCCCTCTCTGTCTACCTCCCGCCCCCACCCCCTGCATCCATCTTTCTCTCTTCCTCTGCCCTTCTCCCCTATTCATGCTCTAAGAATAATAAAATAAAATAACTCATAAAATGAATGTTTTCTCATTCTTTTTTTGTTTGCTAATCTTTTAACTTGTACTAATTTCCTTTCCTATCCTTAGACAATGTTAGTACATAAACCAAAGATTCTAGTTAATTTCTGTTACCTAATGTGAGCAGTGTAATAGTGCAGTGATCTTACAGGAAAGTGCATTATCTACCGAGAAATGTGTCTTTTTAAATTTAAAAAATCTGTATCAGAAAAATGAAGCAATACAATCAAGAACTGTTAGGGACATGTTGAAGCCCAAGACCATGAAACACCATTACACTGACGAAAAGTTGGGGATGACGTGGAGACCGTTTCCAACGTATATTGTACATCCATCTTCCTACCAAGTTATCATTACTCGTAATAATGAAAACTACATTTCCAGAACATTCTGACTCTACAAACATCTTCATCTTTTCAGTGGCACAGAAGGCTGGATGCCTCTGTGTACTTGCTGTCATTCTGCTTTTGAACTCTGCCTTCATCAGGGACACCTTTGCTTCCTTCTTCAAAGGGCAAGTCCTGATTGGCCAGTAGCACCCAAGCAACAAAAACCGAAGTTCACGTACACAAGATTTAGGCAGCTTCAGAAAAGCCCAGAGCCTTGCGGCTCCCTCCTTGAGGAGAAGCCATTTGTTCTCCCAGAAGATTCTCAAAGAAAACCATGATGGTGGTAAATCCAGATGCCTGTTCCATCTTCCACCTAGCCGTATCTGACAAGACTCCCAGAAGCAAAGAAATCCAGGAACTGCCTGTGTTACAAATACATCCTGGCAAACAGAAAAGTCCACAGGGGATGATCAAGAGAATTGTTTTTGTTTCTACTAACTAAATTTTTTTTTTAATTTTTAAAAAAATGTTTATTTTGAGAAAGAGAGAGAAAGAATGCACAGGAGGGTGGAGGGTTGGCGGGTGGGGGGGGGGCGGGGGGGACGGCGGGGGGGAGGCAGGGAGGGAGTGAGGGAGGGAGAGAGAGAATAAGAATGAATCCTAAGCAGACTCCTGCTCTCAGCGCTGAGCCCACCATGGGGCTCGAACTCACAAACCATGGTATCATGACTTGAGCCAAAATTAAGAGTTGGACGCTTAACTAAACAAGTCACCCGGGCACCCCTATTAACTAAAATTTTCTACTCCTCACATACATACCTATGCTTTCAGCCCTTGCAAACTCAAAAGTGAAATCACACAAAAGCCACAATACTAGTTGACCAAGAATATTAGGTATCTCGTGTGGTCTAGAATAGAGGTTCTAAAGTAGATTTTTATACATCAAGTCCTGGACGGAAGAGTACTCATGACCTAATAATATGACATTTATGCCAATTCTTTG